AGGGCTCCTTCGAAAGTCTCATACAGAAATTCTGAAAATTAGCGAAATTTGGACATGGTAAAAACGAGTGGTTGTAATTTGCAGCAAATATCTCGTCACTGTTGTAACGAAACACAATGCTAGTTTAGCACCTGGAAAGAGGAAGAAAATCTGCATCGGGTACATTTTGAAGTCTTTGTTTATCTACATTCTAGCGTGATTGCCGATGGATTGAAAAAATTGACAAAACTTTTGCACCGACCTAATATTTAGACATTTGACTTTTTGCTCCAGTAAACGGTCATGACTCTCACGCAAAAACGCTCGCAGATTGGAAAACAGATTTTTAATCAGCATTCCATGCCCATAGGTGGTATAATGCTCGGTCGCCGGAAGCAGAAAACGACAGACGGAGGTAAAAACTTGAAGGAGCATCTAAAATTAAATTGGCTTCGACTGCATTTCAACTTTGAAAACTAAAGAGTGTTTTAACTTGAGCTGTGTAATTAGTTCTTTTAATTAAAGATTGACCACAGAAAAGTTAATGCCATCTAAGACACTTAACGAGAATCTCTCATTTTCGAAGTTATCACTGCAATGATTTTTTTTCGAATAAAACTGTATCCATGCAGATGGTCCATTGGTAAAAATCTGTATATTTATTGAGCAGACCAACTACTAAGCATTTATATGTTTTGAAAAAATCGGCCAATCTGGAATTCTGTCGTCTATGGCTACTAACTTCATCAAAATGATTATGATTAGTTTTCTGGGTCATATCTACTCCGGATTTGTGGCTTGGGACCCATTTGTCAAGAACCTTTACTAGCAGGCTCTTTTCATAAATATTGACACAACCCTTTCTAACAGTGCGCTTTTTGAAACAACATAAAAATATGATTTACTAAGTGGCAACGGCGTGGTGCTCTGGTTACCATACAAAAGGTGTCGGTTAACATAAAGTTGAATAATTTCCCTTTGTGTCGTCCTACTGCCAACGAAGGTTCATATAAATCCAGAAAATAACGAAGGAAGACCATTTCCAGCTGTTGTTAGCGCTTTGTACACCTCTCCCTTCGTTCGTAAGCAAAAGCATGAAACCTCATGTCTGCTTGCAGGTAAGTAAACTTTTACCTGATGCAAATACTTCAAACGCATCCGGTCAATTAATTCTCACTTTGTGCTGCAGAGTGAGAAGGAAGAAGAACCAACATTTGATAGTTTAATTAGCATATGTCATGAAAAGTTTGAAACGTTACGAAAAAAGAAACATCAGCACATTGATTTCACAACCTAGTCTTTCTGAGCAATCTACTTCGCTCCGAACGGACATTGGAAAAGTCACGATTTTCGAGTTTACAATACCAAACTTACATTTTATCATTGTCTCCGGAACACGCGATGTTATGAAAAATTGGCACAAATTTCTCTCGGCCAAAAAGAGTGGAAACCTACGAAGAATAGGCTATTAGTCTTGTGTACTGATATTTCTGAATTATTCTATAACATTCTCTGCAACCAACTATCTCTTTTGGTAAAAGCTCACCAAAATTTACCACAACGTCAGATATTTTTTGAAATAAATTTACAACAACGACTCGTTCAGACGGAAAGAAGTTCGACTTTTTTGAAAATGGAATACTCAAACTGCTCTCAGGACAACTAATACTTAAACTGTATCTCCTCCATTCCTTTCCAGATGGCAAATGCGCGTGTAGTAACCACGCTGCTCTTCTTCCTTGCGTATCGTGGCCTCGCACAAACTTTCCTCGACAGAAAATTCGATCACGTCGACTTCACGAAACACAAATGCATAGGTAAATCATGCAATAGTGCAAAAAAATAGATTCTATGTTAGCTTTCACACTTAAATGATGTCAATCCCACATAAGTGTACAGGGTGTCAAAATGTGCCTACTGTTTGATTGTTGTTAATTCTGTCATGAAGTTTTTCGAAATGCTTCAGTTATCATTTTGTAGGGCTTCAACTTGCAGTATGGATCGAATTACTGATCGTTCATTAATGTAGGACTACGGTAGGAACTTTGAGAAGGGTTTTGAGCCAAGAAGGGTCATATATCTGGTAGAAGAAACAAAACAACCAGAAACTCTCACACTAGGCTAGATAGAGTCACTGATTCTAAATATAAAGCTTGCATCTCATCATAATGCTTCCTTCAAAAGTTATGCCAAATGACCAGTGGCTGCCGTCTAATCGTTATTTCTAAAAAACGTGATACACCCTTTAGTAAGCTTCAAAATCTTGTACAAAGTTGATTACCGAACTCAGCGTCCACAAAAACCCAATCACAGAAGTTTTTAGACCTTTTTCAAAACATTTGAAAATGCTGCTTTTTCACAGCGACGCCATAGGCCGAAAGCTCCTACCGTAATTCTACAGCAGTGAAGAGCGATCGATGGTTCGCTCCATATTGCAAATCTAAGTTGAAGTCAGCTCTATAAAATGCTACCTAAAGCTTCATGAAAGACTTGATGACAAGAGAGTTATCGACAATCAAACAGTAGGCACTTTTTTTGGAACACTCTGTGTAAAGAACGTACCATGCAAGTCATGGAGCACTGAAAGTGTCGATTTGAAGTGCTTCTACATGCTAACTTTTTGAATAAGATGGGGGCATGTGAAGTAACTGCGAGCATAAGTGTCAATGACGAAGATTTGTATGAGCGCAGAGGACAATCATCACTTTGTGACTTTTTGAGAAGGAAGAAAATGTGTAACAAATTAACACTTCTTCATTCAAAGATGTTCAACATAATGAAGGAGCAGCGCGATGTACCTACAATACCGCTCGTAATTTGTGAAAAAAGTGGCGGCGGCCGCTTAGCTTTGGTGGCCGCCGCCTAAGTTAAGCCTTCCTGCTCGTCACCTTTGAATCAACCCATTGATTCAAAGGTGACGAGTAACAAGTACCGTGGTGACCCCCACCGTGGTGACATTCAATTTCTGGGCGATTTTGAATACAACTTTTGCAGCGGTACTTGGGCAATAAGTAAATTAGGGGCCTCCTATAGCAATGCATCTAAATCTCTCCAATCACAAATTTATGTGGACGGTGTTTGACGTTTGTGGATCTAGCGTCCCTCACACGCGCGCTCTTGAGTCAAAAAATAGAATTAGGCGTGAAAATATTAGAATCTTCCTTATGTGATATCAATCTTGTTGACGTTTTATCTAGTCGTTTCTATATTTTCTACTAATTATTAAAAAGAATTTCATCAGAATTCCTGAAAAACCTTACTAAAAATGGGAATGTGATTATGCTAGAAAGTACGTCATTTGTTTGAAAACGTCCTCCTTTCTACTCTGCATCACTCATATCATCAAAACATTCAAAAAATGACCTACCAAATCATTCGTTAGCAAATTTACACATTGCAATCCTGAATTACTGGAGCAGAGGAGTAAAATACCATGAGCAGCAAGACGCTGTTAGATTGAGGAGTTTACGCAAATTGAACTTGAAAAAATATGAGAAAAATGTATGAAAAGAAATGCCGGACGCTAAGCACTTCTTCTCTTCTTTTGGGGGTGGAGGGGACTTCTACTATCTGTTGCGATTCTATGAGAAGAAAAAGAGGCTAAGATGTTGCATTTCAAAAATTCATGCGTTCTTCTCATATCCAAAATCTCGTAAGGTTGTAGCAGATCTAAAGAAACGTCGAAATGTTTGTTTCACCGCTTCTTTACAAAATTACCTGTTTTCAAAATGGTTTTTTTATAAAAATCTTCGGGATTTTTATAAAAAAACGGCACAGAGCGCTTTTTTGGTAAGATAAAAAAATGCATGTTGTATACATCGACTTGGTTGACCTCGTAGCTTGAGCCAGTGCCTTGAGTTTGACCGCGGCTAGACTTTGTTGGAATATTGAAAATTGTATGAATATTTCGCGTCTAAAATCTGAAAACAGAAGCAAAATTCGAAAAGTAAAAACTTTCTTGCAGGATAAACCCTGTTTTCGAAAAAAACATGAAAATGTAGAGTGGATTCTACTATGCATTGTTGTTGTGGTTTCGCCTATACTAGATTCTCACAAAAACCGAAAGTAACTATCTAGAAACAAGTGAACATAAGCGTTTTTTATGCGTAGTACTTGAAAGGCTCTTCAATTTTTGTAGCCTTCACAATCGCTGGAAATCAACTTACTCTTCGAAATTTCAAAACGTTAATTTTGTTATTAGAAGCCAGAGTTACTAGCAAAATTCTGGGAGAGAAAACAGAGTGCTTTTTATTGAAGACAGCTGGCGTATAGATTCCTTGGCAGAAATCTTTGGTAATTCCCTGTATTATCGCAGTTTAAAAAAATTTGGGAATTGGCCAGAGAACGCGGGAGAATTTGTCATAAGGTTACGTTTTTACTGGACGCGTCAAACATTGGGTGGAAATCTAAAAGAAGAGCTTTTACATGCAAGAAAATTCTACAAAACTGTTCTGGAAATTCGAGGAAACATTGTATCAACTCCAGTTGTCTCTTGCCAGGAAGCAGGACTTGTGACCAACATTTGTATGCTTCCTTTTCTATAGGACCGGGGTCTCTCATTTTGGAAGAATTCTTGAAAATATTGAGATACCAAATTTTCGAGGAGCATATCTTTGCGAAAATGTTGAGAAGTAAGGTAAACGTTTGCTCATGCACGGTTGTTCCTGTTTCTGGTAAATTGTAGATGATTTCTACAGCTAAACTTGAACAGGAATCGTAGTGTGTTCACCTCAAAGATGTGATCTTTACCAAAATCGTGTTTAAACAGCCTGTGCAGAACACTGACGTTGTAATATTTTTGGTTTGACCGCACTACAAATGTGATTCCTCTATTTGTGTCATATAAATGTAAATTTCGCTGTGGTGATTCAAGTGTTGATCATGCTCGCATTTTTAGCGTAGATGTTGTGCTACAGTACTGGAGGGATAAGCAATTTAAGGAAAATTTGTGCGCAAAAGTGGTGCTCATTGAATTTCTACTTTCAGCCTTTAGTAACTCGGAGATAGAAAATAAATGGAAAATGGATTGTTGGGCGGCGCTGGCGGATGCAGGCAAAGCAGTTGGCGAAGCAGCAGTATTAGCATTGAATTGTAAAAACGCGCTGTTTCCACTAGTTCGCTTTTCAAATCTACCAGGGTTGATAGAGGCTTACAATTCGACTTTGCTCCTTAGTTGCTTTTATTACCCTCTATCGTGGATTGATCTTTTCTCGAGTTACCCTTCTGAATGGGATACGAAACTCGAGGATCTTTGCGGAGCGGATGGCTACGATAAGAGCTTGACGGATCAGTTGGCTGAGAAAATAACGACAGTAATTTCATCAAGCACAAGAACACCTTTAATAATATCTGGTTTTTGTCCATGCCGATCATCTGAAAAGTGCTCAGGGTTGTTCTACCGCGCTTCTTGCAGAACATACTATGAGGAACCGCCGAAGATTTCTGTGATGAGTGTTTGTTTTGAGAATGATTGGATTTCGCCGTTTCCAACAATTCCTCCAAAGTTAACACAAACTACTTCCAAACTTAGCTTGACAGCAACCACACCCATCTCAGTATACCCTAACTGTACACAATTTATTGATACAACTTCCTTTTCAAGTCAACAAAACGTAGTTGAGAGTTCAACTGCTGCCATTACCGCAAGAGATGAGACGACCTCCTTGGGTAAAAAAAAATTCTCAAGCAAATTTTCTGTATCGCCAACCGATAGCATCCTCTCTAGCGAGAGAACTGCTTTGAGTAATGAAAGGAAATCAACAGATGCCACTGCCAATGAAAGACCTTCATTGGGCATTTGGTCGACTGAAACTTTTGGGAGAGATTCAGCGCCTAAAACAGAATCAATTTGGTCAGACAGAGATTTCTTTAATTCAAACAGTGAGATATTGAGCGAAGTTACACAGTTCCCAGCCACCGACGCAACTGATTCTAAGCAAAGAGGAAAGACTGGAACAAACGTTGGCACACTGGATATCCAAACGACATTAAAGAGAAGGTCCGGAGCGTTCACGACAGTGTTGGATAGCAGATACGCCTACGCTACTATCCCCTTTATTTATTCAGAAGATGGAACCAGCACTACAATTGAAGCAAGTAGCACGATAGGGGACTCTTCGAAGTCGTCAAAGGAAATTATTGAGGAGGAAGAAGGGAACTTAACATTGGAAACAACTTATGAGAAACACACACCGGCAAGTGAGAAGTTTGAGGAAAAAGAAGAGGAGAAACAGAGACCAGCAATGACGGGTACGCTGACAACAAATGAGAATCGTCATATAACACGTGCTTCTTCTTCTGATTTCATAAAAAAACAAACCACTAAATCCTCGACTTCGGAAGCCTCTAGTCAACTAGAACTGTCTGACAGACCTTTGTCTCCAAGAACAGACTCTACATGGACGGACATTAGCGATTTCTCCTTGTCAACAAATCAGGGGTACACAAATACACTGGAGAACATTAACCCAAACAAGGGTTCAAGTCACTACAACTTAGAGGATACGGCAACTGCGATGTCCACCTCATTGTATGAAAGACAAGAGATAAGCACTGAATCTGCTACTCCAATTGCTGTTCAAAACACCGAAGCCACAAGCATAGCGGAGAGCCGAAGTTTCTATCCTCAAGCGACATCGATATCTCAGAATCCTTTGGAGAATGCTCTCAGCTCAGGCAGAAGTGAATACCCAACTTTCGAAGCAACGCTGACGGTAGAAGGGTCTACTTCTAATCCTGTGACTGGCGGCAAAAAAGTATCTGCCAGTTCAAATTTGAGTAAGACGGAAATTACCAGCTCAGGCAGAAGTGAATACCCAACTTTCGAAGCAACGCTGACGGTAGAAGGGTCTACTTCTAATCCTGTGACTGGCGGCAAAAAAGTATCTGCCAGTTCAAATTTGAGTAAGACGGAAATTACCAGCTCAGGCAGAAGTTACTCAACTTTCGAGGCAGCATCGACAGTAGAAGGGTCTACTCCTAATCTTGCAACCGGCACCAAAGAAGTATCTCTCGATTCACCTGCGAGTAAGACGGAGTCTTCAAATTACAAAGAAACGGCTACGACAGAAGTCGAAGGAGAAAAAAGTCGTACAAAACGCACTGATCTAATTACCAAGACTTCAAAATCGACGTTCGAGTCAACAACATCTTCTCATTCACTCGCACAAACCCTTTCTACACCTGAAGTTTCGGTGGAGAGCATTTACTCAACGACTGGCATAACGGGCAAAAGACAAAAAACGAAAATTTCAACCGTAGGAGAGGTAAGAAGCAATCCAACAAGAGCAGTGGATTTAAACAGCAAACTTCTAAGTTCTACATCACAAGGGCATACATCTTCCTCCTTCCAACAAAATTCGATAACACCTTCCGCATCAGAATTTTCGAGAGGACATAGTTTTTTGGTAGCTATAATCAGTTCAACAAACGCTGATTTTGCTTCGTCGGTTACGGAAGAAGGTGATGGATCAGAATTTGTAGAGGATGTAACCAGAGCAACCTCCTCACCCATCTCAGAGAACAAGGCATCGGCATCATATCATACACCGGCAGCAACACCTTCTGCGAGTGATTCTTCGATCGTTAACCTTCTTTCAGAGGCTACAGTCATTGAGAGTAGTACTAGCACAGATTTCCTATCCTCGCTTACCAAAGAACGTGCCAGCACACCACTACAGGATGCAGCCAGCGAAACTCCATCACCCACCTCGATAAACAAGCGGACGGCATCATCATATCATACAACGGCAGCAACGCCTTCTGCGGGTGACACATCAGAAGACAACACTTTTTCAAATGCGCCATTTATGGGCAGCAGTACTAGCGCAAATTTTTTGTCTATGCTTACCAAAGGAAGTACCAGCACACCACTACAGGATGCAGCCAGCAAAACGCCACCATCTATTTCTACGAACTTAGAGGCATCATCATATCATACAACGACAGCAACTCCTTCTGAGAGTAAAACTTCGACCGTTAACATTCTTTCAGAGGCTACAGTCATTGACAGTAGTACTAGCACAGATTTCTTGTTTATGCTTACCAAAGGAAGTACCAGCGCACCATTACAGGATGCAGCCAGCAGAACTCCATCGACTATCTCAGTAAAGAAGTCAGAGGCACCATCATATCACACAACTGCTTCAAGGCCTTCGGCGAGTGACACTCCGACCGTTAATAATCTTTCAGAAGCTACAGTCGTTGACAGTAGTACTAGCACAGATTTCTTGTCTATGCTTACCAAAGGAAGTACCAGCACACCGCTACAGGATGCAGCCAGCAGAACTCCATCGACTATCTCAGTAAAGAAGTCAGAGGCACCATCATATCACATAACTGCTTCAAGGCCTTCGGCGAGTGACACTCCGACCGTTAACAATCTTTCAGAAGCTACAGTCATTGACAGTAGTACTAGCGCAAATTTTTTGTCTATGCTTACCAAAGGAAGTACCAGCACACCACTACAGGATGCAGCCAGCAAAACGCCATCATCTATTTCTACGAACTCAGAGGCATCATCATATCATACAACGACAGCAACTCCTTCTGAGAGTAAAACTTCGACCGTTAACATTCTTTCAGAGGCTACAGTCATTGACAGTAGTACTAGCGCAAATTTTTTGTCTATGCTTACCAAACGAAGTACCAGCACACCGCTACAGGATGCAGCCAGCAGAACTCCATCGACTATCTCAGTAAAGAAGTCAGAGGCACCATCATATCACATAACTGCTTCAAGGCCTTCGGCGAGTGACACTCCGACCGTTAATAATCTTTCAGAAGCTACAGTCGTTGACAGTAGTACTAGCACAGATTTCTTGTCTATGCTTACCAAAGGAAGTACCAGCACACCGCTACAGGATGCAGCCAGCAGAACTCCATCGACTATCTCAGTAAAGAAGTCAGAGGCACCATCATATCACATAACTGCTTCAAGGCCTTCGGCGAGTGACACTCCGACCGTTAACAATCTTTCAGAAGCTACAGTCATTGACAGTAGTACTAGCGCAAATTTTTTGTCTATGCTTACCAAAGGAAGTACCAGCACACCACTACAGGATGCAGCCAGCAAAACGCCATCATCTATTTCTACGAACTCAGAGGCATCATCATATCATACAACGACAGCAACTCCTTCTGAGAGTAAAACTTCGACCGTTAACATTCTTTCAGAGGCTACAGTCATTGACAGTAGTACTAGCGCAAATTTTTTGTCTATGCTTACCAAAGGAAGTACCAGCACACCGCTACAGGATGCAGCCAGCAGAACTCCATCGACTATCTCAGTAAAGAAGTCAGAGGCACCATCACATCATACAACTGCTTCAACTTCGGCGAGTGACACTCCGACCGTTAACAATCTTTCAGAAGCTACAGTCATTGACAGTAGTACTAGCACAGATTTCTTGTCTATGCTTACCAAAGGAAGTACCAGCACACCGCTACAGGATGCAGCCAGCAGAACTCCATCGACTATCTCAGTAAAGAAGTCAGAGGCACCATCATATCACATAACTGCTTCAAGGCCTTCGGCGAGTGACACTCCGACCGTTAACAATCTTTCAGAAGCTACAGTCATTGACAGTAGTACTAGCGCAAATTTTTTGTCTATGCTTACCAAAGGAAGTACCAGCACATCACTACAGGATGCAGCCAGCAGAACTCCATCGACTATCTCAGTAAAGAAGTCAGAGGCACCATCATATCGCACAACTGCTTCAAGGCCTTCGGCGAGTGACACTCCGACCGTTAACAATCTTTCAGAAGCTAAAGTCATTGACAGTAGTACTAGCACAGATGATTTCTTGTCCATGCTTACCAAAGGAAGTACCAGCATACCGCTACAGGATGCAGCCAGCAAAACGTCATCACCTATTTCTACGAACTCAGGAGCATCATCATATCATACAACGGCAGTAACGACCCAACCTTCGAGTGACACGTCAAAAGTTATCATTTCCTCGAAAGCTATAGTCAGGGGTAGTAGCGCTATAGACTTTTCGTCTAGGCTCATCGAAGAAAACATCGGTACATCTACAAAGCATGTAACCAGTGAAAACCTATTATCTATCTCGAACGAGCCATCTATACACTTCGATCATACACTAGGAATAACCTCTCCTAAGATTGAAATCTCTACGGGATTTACTCGCTATAAGGCTACAATCACAGACAGCAAAACCAGTATGGAACTGCTTGAGACCAGCACATCTGAATATCGAGAAACTACAACGTCCGTCATATCAGATGAATCTGATGATATGGCTTACATATCGAACACTGTAAGTACGGCAAGCTCTCAAATGGTTCGCTCAACAACTCCAACACTCAAGTCAATATTGTTTACCAAATCCAATTCTGCACAAAGCGGCTCATTTTCAGTGAAAAAAATACCTGCCAGTTCATCTTTGCCTAGCACCTATACGACCAATGGAATGTCAACTTCCTCAGCGGAAGAATTCGCAGCTTCAAGCATAGGAACTAAAGTGGTGTCACCTATGATCGATTCCAAAGAGCTGGACAGGAAGAACCCCGACACAACCGCCTACACAACGGAGTTAATGTCATCAAGATTTCTCAATTCGAGGCTTTCGAGCAAAATTTACTCAAGTGACACAAGCAAAGCGAACTATGTTTCTTCTTCTTCGCAGATACAAGAAGATACGACTTCTGCTTCCAGTTCAGTGGGAACAACCGACTTTATCTCAACAGGGGCCTTTTCAACAGATGACAAACATTTTACATCGATGCCCTCCACAAGCACCATCACTTCTGGTCTTAATTCAACAAGACTGTCAGAAAGGCCTAGTTTTTTCACCACAGCACTACTTTGGCTTTCAACTGCATATTTGAAAACTCAAAGTGATTGCAACGCATCTTCTTACTCTGCGACTAACCATTCAACAATAGCCAGAGAACGTACATACTTTACGCCTTCTACGGCAGAAATCACTATTCCAGTCTCTACCGAGGAGACAAGCCATTCCTTTTTACAGGAACTATTTACGAGCGGACTAAATACAATATCCCAACTCCTGCAAAGCTCATCGAACCTATCGCGAAAGTTTCAGACAACCACAGCAGTGTTGAAAGGTAGTAACTACCCCACGGAACGCTTCGTGCAGGTTGATAATCATTCTCGGTTAACATCCTCAGAGATAGCAGGAACTTCGACTTTTCCAACTCTTCCACACCGCAAGCAAACACATTTGATAAAAGATACAACCACGGGAAGGTGGATTACTGAATTAGGTAGTATTCAAAAATTTGGATGTTTGCAACTTTTACAGAGCATCTAATTTCAGCGCAAAGAGATCGGTGTGCGTCTCCATGTCCTTCCGACTACGAAGAAGGAAAGGACTTCTGTTATAAAGTCCTTCATGCGAAAAAGTCGGTAACGTACAGAAGGGTGAGTTTTGGGGGCCTAAAGCAGATTAAATTCTGCAGCAAGTTCATCAACAATATAGTGATTTTAGTAATTTGAATTTTGGAATTGACCGCGTAAAATGAACCTTGATTAGTCTCTCCTCTGAAAAATTGATTGGCGTTCATTGATAAAAGATGACTCTATAGTAGCAATAAAGAGCTGAACATGTCACGCAATTTCCAGTCTAAAGCATTTCCGGCATTTACATGAAACAAGAGTTTTTAGCTGACTCAGAGATACTCATCGACGCGATGTTTTCAGCAACAAACCAATTATGCTTAACACTGCTGAGAAACTGTACCAGAGGTCTTGCATATTGAAGGTCACCGAGGTTTTGCATATTGAACTCCTGCATATTTTGAGCCTTCCTGGGGTGGAACTCAAATCCGATCTTCAATTCGCGTGAAAGATTGTTATTAGGGCAGTTACCGCTTAAAAAAAAAGAAAGAATCTCGAATGGGAGTTCACATAGAAGCCAGAAGGTCTTAAGACAAAAATCTGTCGCCTGTAATTTTTGCCCTGTAAGGCATGCACAGTGCAGGAGCGGCAGTGTGGTCCCGGGCAAAAGTAAGCGGAATCGTCGGAACGGCCGACTGGGGTCGCAGTGATAGGGAAACGAAAGCCACCAGCCTGGGCCGCCTGCGCGGACTGCGAGTCCTGGAACGACATGCAAGAACTCTGCGAAAGGACCAGTTAGCCGCGAAAGGCGGCTCAAACTGGCGGCTTTCGTTCCCCTAAGCGGGTCGCGGCCGGGTAGGGCCCAAAGGCTGGTGGGGTGACCAGAACTTAGATAATCGCCGGGGGCAGGCAGTCCGCAGATTCGCGCTTTTCTGCAGGCGGTCAGCAGAATTTTGGAGCGTGACCAAACCTTCAGCGGGCGACACTTCCTTTACGGTCACATACTCTGCCAGCGGGCAGCAATACAGCATCGCTCGGCAAATAATTTCTTTCAGCGAGCGCTGGCCATACTTTCTGCAAGCGCTCGGACTCTTTTTACGCAGTTTCGGTCGTACGCCGAGTAAAGATGAGACTCTATCAGAGGTGTCATCGACGGTTTAATTACTCAAGTTTGGGGTACCTTCTGTCAGAGGGAAGTACCCTGAGCAGTGCGATCCTTAACAAAGGACCGAGCGGTTCTCAACAACTTTGCATCTTCTCGCGGAAAGTCTGCGAGAATGCGGCCAATAGACCGCAACTTATCTATAGAAAGACCGCGACAGTTCTCCGAGCGTTCGTCTAAAAATCGTCCAAAATTATTCCAAATTTCTGCAAGCGGAGCGCAAGAAATCAGCGAACTATTTTCGGTGCCCGCTTGCTCAAAATTCGCATGACCGCCTGCCCCCGGCGATAATCTGAGAAATCCCAGCACACTATTTCCCGCCTGAATCAAATCTGCCGGGACACTGCTTTCAAGCCAATTCAGCCTGATCTCGATTGGGATGAATGTGTTTCGATAGACTCACGGGTCGGAAGCAACGCTTGACATGAGATAGGCTTATTGCGCATTGTTTCGAAACTTATTAACAGCGTTAAGAAAATATTAGGCTTCTCCGAAGTTAGCTTCGTTTTGGCTAACACCTTACAAAATGAAGCTCTTTGAAAGCGTCTAAGCGCATTCTTCTTCTTCCCTTTTTTCTCCCTTAACCTCCAAACCTCAGAGTGTGACATTCAGGAGTCATCATCCTTTTTTAGAGAGTTTCAGGTTTTTGACAGTACGCCAGATTTTCTGTACTGTACTTCACAATCACTTCTAAATCGACGCCTGATTTGATCGGAATAGGCCTATTGAAAGGGCCATAATTTTTCTAGGGATGGGGCGTTCGCTCCAAAATTCCTCTGTAGCAAGAAAAGGCCATGAGCTCAGCTCAGCCATGAGCTGAACTCATACTAAGAAGGAGCGATTTCTGGATTTTGAAGGCAAGTTAAGATGTAAAGATGAGAAGACATAGAGGATAACATGTGTGCGATAGTTCTTTTGATCCATTTATATTGTTTCGTGTTGTTTTGAACGTTGTTGTCTGCCGCGTTCCCTGCTCGCGGCAGGACCACTCGCCATTTTGGCAGGCCTGGGTAGGGGAACGAAAGCCGCCAGCTTCGGTCTCCTGCGCGGACTGCTGGTCCAGGAACGACATGCAACGACGGAGGCGGCTCATCGTTTTGCCCACGTATTGATCTTTTATTTTTTTGTGTTGTTTTTCCGATAAACTCCGTCTTGTTTCTCGGTGTGCGTCGTTTGCATAAGGGGAAGGGGACCAAACAAGTCTTGTCTTCTTTTTTTTACATGGGGCCGAACAAAATGGGAAAAGAGGAATTTTTTTTTTGTAAGTTTTTTTGAAGGGAAATTTTCCTTTCTTTTATTCTCTTTTGCGGACTTAAGTGTGCTTGTCGATCCATAAGTCGTCTGTGGAAGACTCTCATAGCACATAAACAGGTGCAAAAACCTCTGATTCGAGGTGGTACCTGGAATCACCGTGGGGTGAACTGCCGGTCAATCCACAGATTGTCTGCGGAGGCCGTAAGCAGACCCACGTAAAGGGGAACCTCTGCACGAGGGGACCTGTGCATCACTGTGGGGTGAATATGAGCTTGAAAGCTACTAGCTTTAGAGTCGAGTGAAGCAGTAATCTCCGCGCCGATCGATAACAGGAAGTCTGTCGATACGCATTGATTGCTCCTGTTGCAGGAAAATGGCCGAATCTATTGACGAAAAGATGGAGGCCATGCTTTTGCTGGAAGGCAATGAAGGCAAACGCATGGAAGAAATGCAAGCGCAGATTGCCGGCCTTACACAGCAGGTGCGCCAACTGGCTGAAAGGCAAGCACCTCAGGTAGGCATGGCATCTGCAAGCATAGGCGAATGAGTAGCGGACATTCGCAACCTTGTATGTAAAAGCACGCAAAAAGCGGAGCTCAAAAGAAGCCCTAAAAGTACTGGCACTGAGTTTCGGCAAATAAGCGATGTTTGCGATAGACTAGAGTCAGAAGTCCGCAAAGTTGAGCAGCTAGGTAGAGAGCTCAGTAATCTAAAAGCGCGGATCTAGCCCAGCTGGAGAAAAGTTGGCTCGAAACGCTAGAACAAGCTCAATATGACGATTGCGCAATGCGAAATTTCTGACGGTGGACTCAACCGAAGTAGTAGAGATCGTGCAGCGCATTCTAGAGTCGGCAGTCGAAAATTCGCGAATAGAGGAGCCGCGAACGGGTGTAGAAAGTCTGGAAATAACTAATGCAGGGTTATTTCAGAGCCGCAGTGCAGTGCAACCTGGCGACATGCCATCGACTAGTTTCCAAGACGCGCTAAGACAGGTGCACACTGATGAACTGCCCAGCAAATTGGAATTGTCAGAATTCGATCCGATTGCAGCGGCACGAGGTAATCACTCGAGTGATAGTATTGCGCAAGTAAGACGCTATATTTTGCCGTAGAGGCGAGTAATTCCCTCCTTACAGAGGGTTCAGCCCGCGACAGAGCCGCCAAGGCTGCTGGGATTCTGCTCCATGACGTCGAGGCAGAACTCCCAAGGTAGGAATGAAACACTCAATTCGGAAACGAAGCTAACAAACCTGATGTGCTCTGCTTTTACCGCGATGGCTCTGCCAGGGGGAACGGAACTTAGGTCCCCTAAGAGCCAGCTGAGACGTAATTTTGGAGGTCATGAGTTGTCATTAACGATAATTAACACATCTGCGGAGCGCATGCTAGACCCCGCCTCTATCCAGATACCTTTCGCAACCTAGCAGAGGTCCACCAGGACGCGCCCCGTGATAATGAAACGGGGATTTCAAACGAAATTGAAATGCAAAGTTCAGTATCGAAATTTCGCCAAACAAAGTGAGAACTTGGATTTAGGGGTTTTCAAGTACGCTCTTTTCAAATACGAAAATCCCATCTGCCTCAAAGCTCACCACGGACCGCTTACTAAGAATGAAAGAGGGAATTTCATACAAATCGCATTTGAAAATTCAGTATTGAAGTTTCACCAAACAAAGTGAAAACTTGGACTTAGGGGTTTTCAAGTACGCTCTTTCCAAATATGTAGAGAATTTTTTCATAAGAACATATACAAGGTTTGTAAAAAAATTCAATTTTTTTGTATCAAATTTCAACCAATTCAAAAAAACATATCATAGATATCAGAGAAAGAGGGTGGTGAAAGTTTGTTGAAACTATTTGGTGAAACTTCAATACTGATTTTTCAAATGCAATTTGTATGAAATTCCCTGTTTCATTCTTAGTAAGCGATCTGTCGCCAAACAACAAGAAAAAACAATTAAATATTCGAGGTTTGCAAGATACAGTACTCCCATCCTTGCAAACTTTACTTCAGGCTATTAAAAACAGCGCGACCGAGTGACTCAGGGCGGCAGCTGCGCCAGATGGCAACGACGACTCCGACCATGAGAAGCTTCACTTGGTGTCATTCGGATGCGCTCCGCGCACTTGGGTTATCACTTGTTTTATCACTTGCTTCATCACTTGCTTTATCCCTTGGTTTGATCGTCTTGATTATGAAAACTATCCTCTCAATGTTGTAGCTTAACACATGATTCTCATCGCTCTGTTTTGCATTTAGTTCTCTATGCAGTTTGCATTTAGTTCTCTATTTTGCATTTGGATTTTGCAAGAAAACCAGAAAATCTAAAACAATCTCAAACTCAAGTATTTCGAAGAAAAATGACGATTTCAATAATTCACTTTTATCGCATTTATACTTTGTGTAATCCTCATGCCTTTGTGTCATTATTTCGGCATCTCATCATCTATTGTTATGTAGTTTTAGATACATTTTGCGTTATTTGTTTATTGTTTATTTACCTCTAGTAAACGGTTTAATTACCCAAGTTTGAGGTACGCATCGACACGAGTCAGCCTGGCTTGGCTCAGTTGGTGCATCGGCCGACTTGGGTATTCCTATTGCTGCATCAATACTAACTGCCTCAAGGTACATCGGCGGACTTGGGTATTCCTATTGCTGCATCAGTAATCAACTCAATTGGTGCATCGGACAAGTGCGGATCAAGCTAGTAAGACAAGAGGTTGGTTACACAAGTTTAGTAACAACTTCTTGCAACAAGTGAAACTGTTTATTCTTCGCAATCGCAGTCTTCAACTCGCTTTCCGCCAGACAAGTCCAAATTCAACATTTACATTGCATTTTGACACATTGGCACGCTCTACTGCGCAAAATAAGTCAATTTGCATTAATTGCTTCATTACAAGCCGAATCTACGATTGATCAGCATTTTGGGAATATCAGCTCGCACTACTAATTTCCGATCAATCGCACAAACAAGTCAACGTCTTCGCGCACTCCTCACAATAGCACGTCGCATCTTTGTTTCGAACGGTCAACATGTCAGCGCAATCATCGACTTACAAGCGTTTCCTATCAAAGTACGCGACGAAGCTTGAAACTGTCCTCACGCGCTTCAAAAGTGAGGGACTAGAGATAATAAAATTTCCTGATGAAGAGGATACACCCACTTAAGCAATAAAGATCTATAAAAACACAAGAGAGATTTTAAAGAATATACTGAATATCTAAAAGGACCTACAAACAGACAATTTGACAGACCAAGTCTCGTGCTCTGTAAACGACGCCATATTGACAGGGTGTTATAAATGTGCGCAAGGGGCAACAGCGCAGGTGCGTTGTACGGCTATACGTAAAGCCTACGCCGAGATTACTTGCGGAGATGCTAGTTTCTCGGTGGAATGTGATGAGAATGGGATAGAATCAACTTTCAGGTTCAGTTTTGAACAAGCGCGGGTACAGCAAACATGCAGCGTATCATGTGGGCAACAGCATACAGAGTTCGAAATAGCGGGTATTTTTAAATTTACCCATACCTTACAAGACATGGTGAACAGATGGGTGAACGGCAATACGAATGAGTACAACGAGATAGAATGGCCAGACTTTTCACATATACTAGACGTTTTCACGCAATGGTACAAAACATTGATTTGCGTGGTCATAATATGCCTTAGTATCATTGCAATCACCTATATCGCTTTGTCAACATGCGGCCCACAAGGGGTTTACTGTCTATTACGACTCCCATTTCGCCTACTCAAAATAACAGTGCGATGCTGCATATTTAGGCCGTTACTGCTCATCGTGCGCTTGGGACAGTACAGCCTCAGAAGCGCGGAACAGATTTAATCATATAAATAAGCACAAAACAAGTAGAGTAGAAGTAGAAGACAAGCAAAACGAGCGAAGCTGATAAATACTTCATCCAACAAGTTTCAATTTCTCGATTTCAGAATCATGGACTGTAACGACGAGTTTGACAAGTTGATCGCTATTGCCTCGACCAAAACTGACATTCCAACCAAGTTCCTTATGGACTACATTGAGCAAACGACTGAAGAGATGAACAGCTACGTACTAGCGGCGAAATCGGTTAAGGCCGACTGGAAACACCTCGAGAAGGAACTACCTGACGAAGGGGAGGGTCTAGGAGAACGCGTAATCATCCTGGGGCATCTCCTGCGCGCCGTGACCGCAGCGAAAGACAGCTGGTTAAAGCTGTTCAATCGCTTCATCATATTGGTCAAGTGGCTGAACAGTCGGGGCTTACAAGGATTATACGAAAAGGAAGCCGACTGGTATGACGATGAATCACTTGAGGACTTCAAAGACACAAAGTGGATGTTCGACAAGTACATTGACCGGATACAAAAAGCGACCGATCTTGCCGAAAGCCACTACAGGAACAAGATAGGTGTAAATCAGAAGGCAGACATCAACGCTCGCAACCTACGCCGGTTACAAGACAGGCTACAGGAAGCCGAAGAAGAGTTGTTCGGACTCAAACTAAAGAGGGCCAAACTAGACGAAAGCGTGGACAAGACAACTCCTGGCACTCAAGTAACAAATCCAGCGTCGATGGAGGAAGACGTCCCAGAGCTAGTCGACGAGGGAGAAGAGGGCGAATGGGAAGGCGAGGAAGAGCTTATGGTAGTGGATGAGATAGGTGATGAACTCCAGGAAGAGCCAGAACAAGTGGTGAACTCAGATAACCAACCTCAAGAAGAGCCAGAACAAGTGGTGCACTCAGACGACCAACCTCAAGAAGAGCCAGAACAAGTGGTGCACTCGTGCGACCAACCTCAAGAAGAGCCAGAACAAGTGGTGCACTCAGACGACCAACCTCAAGAAGAGCCAGAACAAGTGGTGCACTCGTGCGACCAACCTCAAGAAGAGCCAGAACAAGTGATGCACTCAGACGACCAACCTCAAGAAGAACCAGAACAAGTGGTGGACTCAGACGACCAACCTCAAGAAGAGCCAGAACAGGTGGTGCACATGGACGACCAATCTCAAGAAGAGCCAGAACAAATGGGGCGCATGAACAACCAACCCCAGGAGGAGCCAGAACAAGCAGTCCGTTTAGACGATGAACCTCAAGTAGTACATGAACAAGAGGACCAGCCTGACAATGATGATCAGTATCTGGCCCACATCATAGAAGAAGCTGCCGAACCAATTCCCCAAGCATACGAGCCACCTGGGAGGCAGGAAAATCAACAAGTTGAACAAGTTGCTCAGGAACTGCAAAACAAGAGGGACGAGTTAAGAGAGACCCGTGAGGAGTTCGAACGCAGGAAAAAAACGATACGCCCTTTGCCCCGCAGGATTCTACAAGATCTTGAACAGGCACCCCACGTACAATACCGCTCACAGAATGTGCAAAATTTCCGTGAATGTCGCAGAATTCCGGGAATTCCGCGAAGGTTCGCGAAATTCCGGGAATTTCGCGACATTCCCGGAATTTCGCGAAATTTTCGGAATATCGCGACATTTCCGGAATTTCGCGACATTCCGGGAATTTCGCGGAATTTTCGGACTATCGCCATAACTTCCTTCGGAATGCATAAATTCTGGATCTGAAACAAGGGTTATACTCAGCTCATTAAGGCGAATCTTTTGGTACTTTGCCTTAC